TCTGCCCAGATTCAGTCAAATGCAGCAAAGTTGATTGGGCGGCGCTTCATAGTACAAAAGGACGAGGACCCTAAACATACAGCAAAAGCAACCCAGGAGTTTTGGAAGTTAAAAAAGTGGAATATTCTGCAATGGCCAAGTCAATCTCCTGATTTTAACCCGACTTTAGCATGCATTTCACTTGCTGAAGACAAAACTAAAGGCAGAAAGACCCACAAACAAACAACAACTGAAGTCAGCTGCAGTAAAGGCCTGTCAAAGCATCACAAAGGAGGAAGAAAACCCAGTCTCTGGTGATGTCCATGAGTTCCAGACTTAAGGCAGTCATTGCCTGCAAAGGATTCTCAACAAAATATTAAAAATGAAAATTTTATTTATGATTATATTTATTTGTCCAATTACATTTGAGCCCCTGAAAATGGGGGGACTGTGTATAAAAATGGTTGTAATTCCTAAGCATTTTATGTTATATTTTTTGTTCAACCCCTTGAATCAAAGCTTAAAGTCTGCTCTTCGAAATATTCAAGTTACAGTTATATGAATATGGGCTTAAAGTGCACACTCTGAGCTTTAATTTGAGGGTATTCAACTTATCATAATTGGAGGAAAGGTTAAGGAATTACAGCTCTTTAATATGTACCTCCTACCTTTTTCAAGGGACCATAAGTAATTGACTCAAAAGCTGTTTCATGGACAGATGTGGGCTATTCTTTAATTATTTCTATATCAATTAAGCAGGTAAAAGTTCTGGAGTTGATTCTAAAAGTGTGCTATTTGCATTTGGAAGCTGTTGTTCTGAACCCACATCATGCTGACAAAGGATGTCTCCATACAAGTGAAATAGACAATTGTTAGTCTTCAAAAACAAAACAAATCCATCATCAGATAGATTCTGATGCAACATTCGGAGTAGCCAAATCAACAGTTTGGTACATTCTGAGAAAAAAAGAAGCTCAGCAACATAAAGAGGCCTGGACGTCCACGGAGGACATGGTAAAGAAAAACCCTTTCACAACATCCAGCCAAGTGAAGGACACTCTCCAGGAGGTAGACGTGTCACTGTCAATGTCTACAATCAAGAGAAGACGTCACGAGAGCAAATACAAAGGGTTCATCACAAGGAGCAAACCAGGCCAGATTAGACTTTGCCAAAAACATCTAAAAAAGCCAGACCACTTCTGGAAAAGCATTCTTTGGACAGCTAAAATTAAGATCAACCTGTACCAGAATGACAGGAAGAAAAAAGTATGGAGAAGGCTTGGAACAGCTCATGATCCAAAGCATACAACATCATCTGTGAAACATGGTGGAGCAGTAAGACAAAACTAAAGGCAGAAAGACCCACAAACAAAAAACAACTGAAGTCAGCTGCAGTGAAGGCCTGGCAAAGCTTCACAAAGGAGGAAACCCAGTCTCTGGTGATGTCCATGAGTTCCAGACTTAAGGCAGTCATTGCCTGCAAAGGATTCTCAACAAAATATTAAAAATGAAAATTTTATTTATGATTATATTTATTTGTCCAATTACATTTGAGCCCCTGAAAATGGGGGGACTGTGTATAAAAATGGTTGTAATTCCTAAGCATTTTATGTTATATTTTTTGTTCAACCCCTTGAATCAAAGCTTAAAGTCTGCTCTTCGAATTCATCTTGATTGTTTTATTTTTAATTCTGTTCTGGTGGCATACAGAGGCGAAATTATGAAAATTGTGTCAGTGTCCAAATATATATGGACCTAACTGTACACAATGTTGTACATCCAATGATCCAGCAAGATATGGCCTTACATCCTCTGATTGTCCAGTCTGGCTGGTCTTTCGTCTTTTCCCCAGACCATCCAGTTCCTTTTCTTTTTTATCCTACACAGGGTTTGAGAGGAAAAGTTGAGATCGCAAGAATCACTCATTTTGCAGTATCAAAAAGAAACTTGACTACCTTGGGGTTTCGTTTGCGGGAGATAGCGATGCTTTGACCCAGTTTACTGAGGAACGAGATGGGTGATTTAGTGCTGGCAATCAACGCCGCCTTCTCCTCAGGGCTCAGATTGTGGTTTTCTGAAACACACAAATATGAATAATAATTACTAAAATCGATGAATGAACTGCATGCTAAGAAATAGCATGAACACTCCTAATGCCTAACATTCCTTTTTGGTTTTGCAAGTTTCTCTGGATGCATTATTGTAGATCTACAACTCACCACCAGGTGGCACAGTGTCCTTGAACATCTCGTTGAACTGGCTGAGGTACATCACCATGGAGAGCTTGTCAGGCTCCACCACAACTGACATCTCCTTCCCGGTCATGATGGGAGAAATCCCAAACTCTTTTTCGGCCACGTCAAAACCCAACTGGTTGTTCTTCTCCATGTCTTTCTCATCCAACGAGTCAAAGTTACTGTAGTTACAAGACATCGCAACATGAGACATCTCCATATCCCATAATCATGTTATTTAGCAAGTTAGAAAAGATATAAAACACTGACGCCAGATAACCCACATGCATCAATGATACTGTAAAAAGAGCATGATCTAGAAAGCAGTTTAATACATATTTAAATCCTAAATGTCACAAGAACATCTGCTGAACTGAATTTACAAGGGCTGTTCACACTGACAGCGATTCAAGTTGTTGTTTTGTTTGGTTGCTAGCAGCAGTTATTTCTCGGTTGCTGCATACAACTGCATAAGGCTGTGGATCACACAAGCTTCACTGTCTGGACTCCAACTGCTGGTCGCCGCATTGCATTAAACTTTAAAGTTGAATTTTGCTGCATTCCCAAGTTAGTCTGTGTTGCTCATATTGTATCAAACTGGGAACCGTCATTAAAGGTTGCCTTACGGATGCAAATCTGTTAGTGTAAATCTGTTTCAGCATCAAAAAGAAAATATTTTAGCAAAGAACTACTACTTGGTTTAAAAAAGATCTATTTGAAAATATCCACATCACAGTGACTATCATTCAAAGTTCGGTGTCAGGTCAGTTTTTTTTTTTATTAATACTTTTATTCAGCAAGGACATTAAATTGATTGGAGCGTCCGGCGGGCTTGCGGCAACCACATGTGACGACCCCGGTGAAAGGCGATCCGGCGATCCAAAGCACGAAGTTGACGTATTTCCTCAGCGACCAGCACGGATCAGCTCTAGGCATGACGAAGCGATATCGTCCTCTTTTGGAAGGCCAAACAAAGTAGTTTCGCTTTCACAACGAAACACAGCGCCTTCACGACATGGCGGAGGCGGCAACAATACTACAGCAAGAATAAAAGTTACGCCTTATTTCTTTGCGTGAACATTTGGGCGGCGTTATGCAAATCTTCCCACATCATGACGTAGATATGTGGGGGCGTGTTAGAACGAGCCGTTTTAGGTAGGCGTGGTTGACTCTTAACTTTTATAAAGAATATCTCTTTGGATTTGAGACTTTAGTCTTTGCAACTTTACAGATCTTCTTTATGCACCAAGAGCTTGCAACACTC